GTGATGATGATGATTTAGGTGAACAACGTGAACAGCAGAACCCCAGTTGACGGTGCGCCGGAGCAGCCTCACAGAAACCCGCCGTCGCCGCCGCCACACCGAACGGATCGGCGCCGTCGTCACCGTCGACGACGTCGTCATCATCGTTGTCGGCACGTATCACCTCCTATCTGCCGTCCTCGTTACTGCGATGGGGTTAATGGCGCACATTCATGTTTGTCTGTGCTGCCAGTGTGTGACGACGACGATACCGTAGACATTGAGGAACAGGGTTGCTCCTATTAGTGAAGTGATATATGTAATACTGGTCTAGAAGGGCAATTTGGGTGTACTGTAGCGCGATTTTTCACACGAAGTATAGCCACATCATTTTCGCCGAACGCCCAAGTTTGCACTCCTTCGACTGTGACTCTGTTCCAAGCGGGTTAGCTCTACGTCAACGTTTCTTCTCTCTCTCTCGTTGTGCGTATGTCGAGGCTGTTCCACGTGTTCTTTTTTCTCATTATTTTGTGATATGTATATTTCTGCAATGTCGACAGGCATTTAAGAACAAGTTTTTTTTCAACCTTTTTTTCTCGAAATGAATTTCTACAATTTGAAGGGATGGTGTGTTATTCTGTTGTATAGCTTGTTTTAGCCAGTAGTCCGGTGAAAAAAGACAATTTCCAAGGTTTTTTTATTAGACTTTTTATGTATAATTCAACTTGAAGCGGGGTGAGTGGGAAAAGATCAAATACTTGAGTTTTTGTATTGTTTCTATTTTGCAAACAATTAGATCGCCAAAATATGTTTTATAATGCTTGAAACTCCGCTTTAAGCTAAATCTGCGTGTAGAAATAACTTTTCATCCAAAGCATTTGTAATTGCAGCCTATTTTCAACTATTTAGCTTTTTATGCATGATTTCGCATCGACTGCTTGCACAAAACTTTCCAAAACGATTGTGATTTTAGCATATTAGCAGTATTACTTCCTATTACTTTGCTCCCCCACAAATTTCAACAGTCAAAAACGCTAGACTATCGAAATGATTCGAATGCCCGATTTTTCAGCACAATTGTGATCTGCACATACGTTGTTACTGATTCTTCTCTCGCTCTTTTCATGTAATATATCCATAATTCACAAATCTTCTTTTTATAAGTGCACGACAAGGTTTTCTCAATCTCTTCTATTTGATTGTCGATAAATTCTCGAAATTTTCTCAATTGTTGAAATGGACATGTTGCGATTAAAAAGTGACATCTTTTTTCAGATAGCCTTTGATCATCAAAATATCGTATACTAATTAATGATTGTTGAACTCTACCGTTTACTCTACGAACAGCTAGGTTTGTTCAATGAGGGCGGGCATGAGGTGTCAGCGATGAGATTCCGCTGGATTCAGGAGTATTATAGCTATACACTGGAAAAATCGAATCTTGAGAAATGTGGCCAACATTTGATAAAGTGAGTTAACAAAAAAATAGCGACCAGCATCTTGGAGAGTTTATTGAAAATTGAGTTACTTATAATTTATGAACTTATTTAAAAATGCATGAAACAAACGAATACACTGATTTTATGACGTTTACTTTAGAAATTTATCACTATGTCTCTTAATGCCATGAACATGTAACAAATATCAAAAGAAAAGATCCAGATAGGCGGAACTTGTGAGTAGTGTACTGGTCGATTGGCTAATTATTGTTGATCTGACCATTTACGGACAAGAAGGATATATTGACTAACAATCCTTTAGACAGTACGCGCTGGGATAATTCCTAACTACTTCTTGTTGGACTCAAAAGGAGAGTAGAAAGATCGGCAACCTGATGGTCAGACTTATGTATTCATAAAACTCTTGAAAAAAAAGCGGTCAAAGCCTTTTAAATCTCGAAATGGCTGGAAGATATTTCCTTTAGCATGTGCT